CTTATCATGCAGTTTTATGCTTTCAGTCACCTGATCTCAGGCATGAGTCACTGTTCAGGTCCATGGAGGAAGTGACCTCTGGCCAGCACCGGGCTGACTGTTTTCAGGAAGCCTCCTTAGTGTCAGCCTAGGTCAGGTGCTCAGGTACTGTGGCTGGCTTGTTTACTGTTATATCCCCAAATACTTGGTGAATGAATAAATGAATTGGGCATCAAATATTGAGTGCATCTTCTTTTTATCAGTGTCACTGACAAGAAAAGGGTGTTAGAGTCTCAACAGGACTTACAGAGCCTTTGCTAAATGCACTTTTGAATGCTGTATGCTCTTTTGGCTGAAGATTGAGCTTCAGTTTTCATACTGGAATTCTTTCCCTCCCTCCCTCCCTCCCTCCCTCCCTCCCTCCTTCCCTTCCTCCCTTCCTTCCTTCCTTCCTTCCTGTTTGACAGAGAGATAGCACAAGTAGGCAGAGCTGCAGGGAGAGGGAGAAGCAGGTTCCCCATTGAGCAGGGAGCCCGATGCGGGACTTGATCCCAGGACCCTGGGATCATGACCCAAGCCGAAGGCAGCTGCTTAACCGACTGAGCCACCCAGGCGCCCCTGGAATTCCTTTTTAAAAGAATGTCAAAGGACCAAGAACCTGGGGAATACTGGAAAAATAAAAGTGAAGAGCATCAGTATAAGATGCATTTCCAAAGCCACTAAAGACAAAACAAAAGCAAATAATAGTTTGCAATCTTTTTTTTTTTTTTTTTAAGATTTTACTTATTTATTTGGCAGAGACGCAGCGAGAGAGGGAACACAAGCAGGGGGGGTGGGGGAAGGGAGAAGCAGGCTTCCTGCGGAGAAGGGAGAAGCAGGCTTCCTGCCGAGCAGGGAGCCTGATGTGGGGCTCTATCCCAGGACCCTGGGACCATGACCTGAGCCAAAGGCAGACGCTTAACGACTGAGCCACCCAGGCGCCCCAGTAGTTTGCAGTCTTAAGTGAGCACTTAATATTTGTATTCTTACAAATCATTGAAATCATAGTTTAGTGTGTTTCAGGCTTGTATTTGTTGTTCCTTCAGCCTTCCATGGCCTGCCGCTTCTCCTGCAGAATCTCAGTTTCTCTGAGAGCACAAGTACCTCCCTTTAGCTTAATGTGCAGAGAAGGGATGTGCCTCCCAGAAGTGCCTTGTGACTCTTGCCCAGTTGGTGGTACCTTCTCTTTATTATAAAGTAGCATTTTGATTTTAGATTTGTTTGTATCACTCAGTTAATAAAATGTTTGTCCATAGGTGTCTGTCCTACGGTAGAATGTTACTTTGCAGAGATTGTATGTGTTGGAAACATTGCGCAGTGTTAATATCAGATGGCTCACTCCTGTTACTTGACATTGCTAACAGGTTGAGGCTTTAAGAATATAATTAAGGCAAAACGTGAGTAAATAAGATAGCTCTTAGGCCAGACAAAGCTGATGAATGTTGGATGAACAGCATACCTGAGGTAAATGAAAAGTTTCTTCTTAGGCACTTTTTCCTTTTCTTGCAAATGCTCCTGAGCATTTTGGGTTTCATTTGCTTAAAGGTAAGAGAAGGATTGGCTTCACTTCTTCATCTCCACTCTCCTTTGGTTAACTTTGAATCCTATCTATGTGTTTGTCTAGTTTATACATTTTGAACAGTGGCGTTAAGGATAAAAGGTATTATCTTTAGTTTGTGGTAATTTTTTTGACAAGACACACATACGCACCTTGAATCATTTTGATTTACAGTTTAAATATCAGTCATCCTCTTTTAGTTCCAGAAGTCCATGGCAGCGTCCTTACATATTCCATAATATATCAACAGGCACATGGGATTATGATAGAAAATGTGTCAAGTGGAAGGTCCTATAGTGTGTATTTAAAAATACCTTTGGTATCTAACATTCTCCACATTTGCTCTAATAAATGAGAGGTTTTAGCAATGCCCTATATGGTAATATCAGATGTTAATGGCATTGATTATCTGTCAGGCAGTGGGAATTGATGGGAAAATGTCCGCTGTAAAATTAAATAGCATTAGAGAAGACTGTACCATGCGTGGGAGAGGGGGGGCATGGCTGGGCCTGGGAGACTTTGTCAGGGTATTACCGTGAGCTCCAGGTTTTTTCCCCCACATGATTAAGGCAGGCCATCTGTTCTTTGTTAAATGTTTACAAAAACAGCTTTTCTCTAAAAGATTTAAGGAGATGTGGGTCTGGTAAACACTATAATATTTCTGAGCACCTTTTTCACCCTATTTCATATAGTACCCAAACATAATTCTGCTGTATATCAAACAGGATGAATATCTTTTTTGTGTTTAATCTTTATGTTTTTTCCTTCTTGTGGAAGATTAAAAATTTTAAGGGATACTAATTTATGGCTTCATTTATTACTGAAAGGAGCATCTAAAATCATTTGTATGCTAAAATGTGTAGATAAATTTTCAGTCTTTTTGTATTAGATATTCTGTGCTTTTTCTAGTTCATAAATGTGTATCAGGTATTTCTCGTGAGAAGCTGGCACTTTGTTACTGGGGTTAACATGCAGATTAAAGCAAGGTACGCGTACCTGGGATTAATTCACTATTCTGAGCTTTAAGCTTTGTTTACTGGTAGACTTTTCTCTTTCCTTCCCTTTCCAGGAAATACTTTTTCTTCCATTTCCTGAAAAATAGTTTGTCGCAAATAAGTTTGACCTCTAAATCTCTTAAAAAAAAAAAAAAGATACGGCTTTTTCCTTTTTATTTACATTTGAAATAATATGTAACATCTCAACTTCAGCAGCTGAATTTTAATCACACAGTTAAATCGGACGCTGTTAATTCTCAGGTAATGGTAACGTGGACAGCACCTCGGTTGATGTTCATTTAGCGTGTGTGTGAGAGAGAAGTGTAGGGCAGAGGGTAACTTTTTTCAGTGTTTGGCTTGCTGTGCTATTCCTGTGTGGAAACCTGCTCATGTGGACTCCCATCCATGTGCTCTTCCTTAGACTTCTGCTCTTGTTTCTTTCTCTTTCTGTATACCTTTAATCTTTTTCAGGTTCATCCTCTTTCAGCTATGACTAGGAAAGGAAAATATGTATTTTAAGATTTTCTCATACCATTGGATTTTGAAAGAGACTTGGAAATCATCTAACCCAGACCCTTCATTTTGCAGATGAAGAAAATGAACTCTGGATGAGTGAAATGATTTTTCACTGATAATATAGCTAACGGCAGGACCCAGACTAGAATTTGTGTCTCTTACCTCCTAATTCTGGGCTCTGTCTCTTGCACCAGTGCAGGTGAAGAATTGAATGTGGGTTTCTTTAGTGACCATAGTAAGGTTTAGTGGGGGAGAGTATGACCACTTTCTTTTCAGACAGTGATGCCTTAAAATTTGGGGGGGGGGGCGTCACTGAACACTTCGGAAATCATATGAAACCCATGGAGCATTTCCCAGAAGGATGCCCATATGTAAGATTTCAGGAGAAGCACAGAGTCAGCAGAACACTGGTTTAGAAAACCTAGATTCAAATCACAGCTCCATCTCCTTCTCTGTGACAGTAGGTGATCATATAACGTTCTCAAACTTTACTTCCTTTCTGAAAGATGGAGGCAGATTACCACGGTTTTGTTGTGAGAGTCAGGTGAGCTAACCCATGAAAGCACCCAGCTCAGTACGTGGCATGGAATAGATGCTTAGTTAGTTGTACTGGAATCTAATTTATGGTACCTTGCTGATGGTAAGCCATAGCTTCTGGGTTACTCGAGTTCTCTGGAGACCTGGACCTGGGCTCTCCTCCCCCCCTTTTTGGAGGTGGTGTGGTCAGGAGGGTGGGTCTGTAACTCCTTGGGCACAGTACTGCATCCTCGAATGTCAGCGTCCATATCCAGCTCCTAATTAGGGCTGGTGTGGAGATTGAACAGTGTCAGGGGTGTAAGGTGCCTAGCACGTGCCTGGCACATAGTAAGATTGTTCGGTAGACACTAGCAGCCATTCTTGTTGCTGTTTCTGTTAGACTTACTGTTAAGTGTCTGGAGCAGCAGATGAAAAAGGCAAAGAAGAAAAAAAAAAAGAACAAACCCAACCCTGAGTGACATTTGCAGATATAACATTTTAAAGTATTTCTTTGAAATACAGAGGTTCATTTGATGTCATAATTTATAGTGGAGATGACACTCGACCCCTGTGCTGGTTTGCAGCGGACTCTGACCTCGGCTGACCAGTCAGCCTCCCATCCTAATTGTTGGCATTCTCTACTGCGTTAAGCCCATCTCTGGATGCACTCCTTGTGAATGTCAAAGCTCTCCTGCAGGGCTTACCAGCTCGACTATTTGGATTTTCTGTTCCTCAGTGAAATGTGAAAATGTAAAGCTTTAGTAACTTAACACAAACACTCTCTGCATTTCATATTAGTATAAGAAATTTAACGAATCCGAAGTCACTAAGTTTGGATATGTGCTTTTAATGTGGCATTTTCATGTCATTTAAATCAGAAATGGCCTGCACTCTATAAGATTTGTGCGTGATACTTGGATTTCAAGCTTTCACAGTACCTGAATTGTGCAGTGCTCAGTACACTTGTTCTTGTTAAAAGTGGCTTAATTATATATCTTTAATTTGAGTTCTCATTCCTGCATGGGGAAAAGAATTCCATTTAAATTTGTTCTTTGAGTATAGCTTCTGCCGCTGTGTTGTCATTCACCAAGTCCCACACACGTAGGGGCTGCTGTGGAGAATGGACCGTGTCTTCAGCTGAATGAGAATTATTTTTCTTCCTGAACTGAAATTTTTACTGTATTGCTAAGTTACCCCCCCCCATTTTTTTACTGTTTATGTAAAAGCCTTCTTGTTTTTTGGATGAGAGAAAATGATAGATTTTTACAACTGTATAGTTGGTAAAATATTTGCTACTTTGAATGTAAAGTTTCAGAAGCATCAGCTACTAACTTTCAGTTCCTTTCTTCAATACAAAGAATAATAAACTAATTTCAATTCCCATTTGTGTCTCTTAGCATTCTCCATCGGAGCCCTTTCTAGAGAAACCAGTGCCGGATATGACTCAGGTTAGCGGGCCGAACGCCCAGCTAGTGAAGAGTGATGAGTACCTGCCGTCCGGAGATCAGCAGCCACAGCAGAAGAAGAAGAAGAAGAAAAACAACCACATTGTTGCAGAGGATCCCAGTAAAAGTTTTGGTAAAGATGACTTCCCTGGTGGGGTTGATAACCAAGAACTAAATAGGAACTCACTAGATGGGTCCCAAGAAGAGAAAAAGAAAAAGAAAAGGCCGAAGGTAAAAAAAGATCCGAAGGAACCGAAAGAACCCAAGGAGAAAAAAGAGCCCAAGGAACCCAAGACCCCGAAAGCCCCTAAGATTCCCAAAGAGCCAAAGGAAAAGAAAGCAAAAACTGCCACGCCAAAACCCAAATCCAGCAAAAAGTCAAGGTAGGCTGTGGGCAGAAACAACCACCAGCAAACACAGCGTAGAAATGAGCAGGGCAGTGAGGGCCCCTGAGAGGGGGTGGGGCCTGGGGATGGGGGAGGGGCAACAATTTGATTTTTGCCATCGGGTTCCTTTTTCTGATACCCAAACTAAAAAGTTAAGAGTTTTATACATTCTGAAGTTTAGGACTCAATTACCATGAACCGTTTGTTTGGATGGTACATTTTAGACTTAACTGGGTAAAAATTCTTTGTTATTTTATTCTTTGTATTTTTGTGAAAGTTCGTCATTGACCAAATAGAACCAAATTGCCAGCTTAATTACTTGTAAGCCTAGACCAGCAACCTCATTTTGAATGACAATGCAAAGCAGGGACAGAAGGATTACAGAAGCAAGATAGGCCACTATATTTCACTAAGCGTTTCAGCCCTGTTTCCCAGAAGTCGAAACAGGAGAATTCATTCTCTCCACTTGGCGGAGTAAGCCTTCCAGGGGCAGGGTTGAAATGCTAGTGGGCAACGTGGGAGAAATCAAATAGCAGTTATCCATTAGATATGCATGCAAGAATAGCATGCGCTTTAGCTTCTAGGAAATGCCCTCCTCCACTCCATACTTCCCTCCGTACTTCCCCTACCAACTCGACCCCCCAGAAGGCATATTTACTCAGTAAGAAAAGCTGAGAGGAGAAGACATTGAAGACTAATTTCTTCATTTGTACTGAACATTTCTTACGACCGTTCTGAACCAATTCCAAACATCTGAATCTATTTTTCAGAATATGGCTCATGTTAGAAAATATAGTTTCCAGATGGAAATATGGTCAGACTTGGTTAATCTGAACCTGTTTGCAAACTTCATTAGAAAAAAACGCTCCCCCCTTCCGACCCCCGCGTGCATATGTATACACACACGTGTGCACACATGCACGCTCGGGTCTGCGATGGACATGCTTGATGAGAACTTTCTGAGCTCGCTGGCCTGTAAACCTTTGACTTGTAGGCTTTCCTGTGTGCACATGCTTGGATACAGAGCTGAGATGATTCTGTGACTACAGAGATGTCCCTGCAAAGGAAAAGAGCAAAGTTGGATTTTCAACTTCTGCTAAAAATATCTATACAACCCCAAATACGTTATTCTGTAGTGTTTTGAGACTTTGTATCATAGTCATTTAAACATTTTGTCGTCGGTATTTTTTATGGTGCCGAGATAACGGAATTCTATTCAATAATTCAATCTTACAGGTAACTTAATATTGGCATTTACTTAGGAACCTTCTTTGATGCCTCAGTATGTGGTTTCTTAATTGAAAACCATTATTTTTTTCCCATATGAACACTCTTCTAAACCCACAACCCATTATAAATTTTGTTTTCATTTACTTAAGAAATATTAAGTACTTATTCCTTTTTTTTTTTTTTTAAAGATTTTATTTATTTATTTGAGAGGGAGAGAATGAGAGACAGAAAGCATGAGAGGGAGGAGGGTCAGAGGGAGAAGCAGACTCCCTGCTGAGCAGGGAGCCTGATGTGGGACTCGATCCTGGAATTCCAGGATCATGACCTGAGCCGAAGGCAGTCACTTAACCAACTGAGCCACCCAGGCGCGCAAGTACTTATTCCTTGTAGGTACTGTGTTAAGTGTTAGGATGTGAGCAAGGAGGATATTGTTAGAATTTCAGTCTGACTTATCAGGGTTTTTTTTTAGAAATATAATTGCCTAAAAGCTAAGTGTTGTGCTTTTGATAGGCAGAAACATGTGCTTATTTTTCCCAAGGAGAAATTGCAGCAAAATTTTAAAAGAATGTATTATTATGATTTTAAAACTTGAAATGTAAGAGCCTGTGTTCTAAAGAAGCTTCCTAGAACTCAGAAAATATATCACCAACACTAGCTTTATCCTCAGGGTCTGTCGTTACTTTGTATCTTTAATTTTTTGAATCTAGCACCTAATGATAAACATTGGTTAAAAAAAAGAAAAGACTTAACTGTGTCTGGATGTTGTCACAAATTCCCAAGTATATTACCTTCAGGTTCTGAGTCTACATTGACCTAGTTCTGTCTTTAAAAACATACTTTTAGTTTACCCTTACCTCTTGTGGGATACTTTAGGGCAGATATTAAAATGCTGTATTTAACAGTGAAACTTGTTAAAATTTCCCCAACAACTGTAAACAAGTGTTGGGAACTTGGGGCATCAGATCCAGTCAATTCTGGGCACCCGTGCTGCCATGGTCCAGAGAGGGGCCCTGTCTTTACCCATGAGAGAAAATTCCAGTGCATGCTCTCAGCTGCTCATCCTCAAGTTTGCATTGTCTGTGCAGAGTAAATTCTTGGCATTGCTGAATCCGAGTAGTGGCCTTGCATTAGAGTCACATGTTTTTGATAGGAGAGAGGGCATGTGATTATTTTCTCCCAAGAAGAATGTTGGGTACTTTACCCCCCCTCTGTTGTTGCTTTAGACTAATAGTTTCAGTGGATGCCTCCTTGAGGTGATAGTTGCTAATCCCCAAGTGGTGTGCAGATAATTGAATGGAACATTTCTAGTGAGCGTGGGGATGTGTATGCAGAACGGGGGCTGACGTAACGGGGCCCAGACACCGGGGCCACGCCGAGGGGTGCTGGGAGTGTTTGGAGTACTCTGTTGGCCCTAGTGACTTGACCGCTTGTCGGGCCACCTGCTGAGTCACGACAGAGTGTGGTGAAGACTTTCCTGGGGGACTTTCCTGTCATTGATGGTCAGATGGGAGTAGCTGTCTAAGAAAATGGTAATTGAAAAGAGATTTTCATTAAATTAACAAACCAACCCACTATTTTGTTGAGCCACAGTTTCTACTGGCCAGATGAATTGAGTATGTCAAGTTGTGGTCTTGTGTTCTGCTGAATCTAGGAAGGAAATCGCATCCCTGAAGCACAGATAAGTAGAATGCATACAACTACATGTAAATTCTGAATAGCATAGCAGAATAATTATGTAAATTGAATATGCAGTGATGAAGGTAATAGGGGGTTTGGGTTATGTTAGCACTGGCGTTGAATTGCCAGAGCAGTTTGCTTTTAAGCACTGGAATACAGCAGTGGCAATTTTGTTTTGCAAAATGTTATGTGATACCAGTTATTTCCATCCTTGAATAAGTTAACTTGATGAATTTGTTTATACAGAAAATAATTTTCCTACAGAGGGCTGAAATAGAAGGGAATAAACAGAAGTGAAATGAAAAATTTAGTGCAGAACTACTCACATCTTAACTGTTCAGCCCCGCATGCCAAATGCGCTGCCCCCCTGAGCGGGCAGTGACGGAAGTGGCCCCTGTGGCCTGCCCGGCCCTGCATTACGTCTGTGGAGGGCGGAGGGCTCGTTTTGCATCGTTCACACACGCTCAGTACTAAAGGACATTTTGAAAGGGTGGCTGTCATCAGGGAGCTGATTGTGTACGCCTTTAGGATGTCCGTCTCACCACCTGCCATTCTGCTGCATTCCTGAAAGTGGCTGAGGCTTGAATCTGTGGCCATTCCCCAAGAACTGACCCTTTGGGCAACCAAAATATAATGGTATTGTCTTGCCTGTGCAGGAGAACTCAAAGAATCTGCAGGAGAACTCAAAGAAGCTGTGACATAGAATGGTAGGGAAACAGAAAAAGGTATTCAGCCTTTCAGGAAAAGACATTTAAAATCTTAAAAATGAGAAAAATGGGCTGCATTCCACTTTTCTATTAGAAATGTATCTTTCTTTCTTCTTTTCCTTTTATGTTAAATATGTATTTTTCTACCCATTTTTTCCTAGTGCTTTCCCCAGGTGTCCTTATAGCCTTCGAATATTGGCAGTAAATATTGAAAATGAAAGCTAAGACATTTGTGGGCTGGAAGGGATGCCACTTTGCATATGGAAGGATTCAAGGAGCTGAAATAGGATTTGCACTCTTCTCTTCAGTGCGTTTTCCGTTGTGTATGCAAGGGCCTTGTGAAATGAGAGGGAGTTTGGAGGAAGCGCTTCCTTTGAATGACTCTTGAAGGATTTAGTGGTCCATTTAGCTATATAAAGATTCTTTGAATGGACATAAAGAAGGGAACTTGGCCAAAGACTGTGACTTGACTAGCGAAGCGCCAGTTAAATGGAGCCGTGGAGATTTGCTTCTGGTGCAGCTTCCTTACTGTCTTCCACCCCCAACATTAAAGTTAGTATGAGACTAAAACGCTGTTTCTCAGTGAAGAGTGATGAAATACTTTATTTAAAAATGGACAGTAAACATACTGCTCTTGTTTTTTAAAAACACAAAGTACCAAAAACACGTAAAGTATATTTTTTGCAAACCACAGTGTCATTATCGTTAATATTTATGTGGCAACTTTCTTCTGAGGAACTTTGCTTTTCAGATTCCCCCCCCCCCTCAATTATGATCTAAGAAAGTAGCAACATTTTACCTGAGGAATATTTTTATTCAGCCAGCGAGCCCAACGGTGGTATATTTTGGTAACCTAATACATAGTTTATATAGTGTGCTCTTATACATGTACAATTTCTCAGCAGAGATTAGACACAAAAGCAAACCATTAAACTAGTTTTACTTAATAAAGACAGAAAACCTAGAGAGTCAGATACCTCTCCATCAGGTACGTAGGTGGTAAGTTAAACCCACAGCTTTTCTTCTGTTTTCTTGTTCTTTCTTTTACATCCTATGATTTAGTTTTGACTCATGGCATTGGGTAATTGGAGATTTTGAATTAAGTATTTTGGACAGTATGCCTGCAGAAAAGGCTGCAGATTTTTTTAACGTATAGTCACAAGACAGACTTTGAGCCCTTTCAGTATTGGAGAGGAACAAGGGAGAGAAAGTGCCTGTGGGCGGGCGTTGTGCATCTCCGCGGGCTGGCCTGCCCTGCCAGGTCTCTGGTTCATTAAATCCAAGCTCCAGGCCGGGGGATGGGACCAGGTAGGTGCTGCCTCCCCTGGTGGTCTGAAGGGTTATCTTCTCTTTGAAAGGGGGCCATTGGGTCTTTTTGTTTGT